ATTCATGAATTCTACGTTTGTAATATTTTTCTTCGAAGACACGCTGTAAGAAAAACGAACGAACAGGATGACTTAACGGTACGGTTTGTCTCTCCGTTTTTGTTCCAAATACCGCTTGACCTTTCAAGAAAAACATTTTTAGGAGCCAACAAAATTAAAATCACTGTAAAAATCACTGTAAAATTCACAGATATCTAAATACAACGAATAATAATTTTCGATAGTCCCTGGAGGGACGTTTTCCATTTAAGCGAGAAATCCTGCCGTTCCGCCGCCGCTGCCCTTAACTTCTAATTGACGTGCATATCTGACGGATGGAGTTACCGTGAGTTTCGTCGGGCGGCTGATTAATGCATCGACGTGTGATTACATTTACCGGAAAGCATCGTAGCAGCGCGTTGTGAATGCAAGGGAAGTTAATAGGACGGGTTGCCTTCCTCGCGAGATTTTCCCTGGCGCGAATGTTTCACTGCGCGAATCGGCGAGAGGAAAGCCGATTAATATTCACGACCGATCTCCGGACGCTAAGCCTTTATACGATGAAATTCCGCGCGTATGATTTCCTTGCGAAATTTAATTCGACCGATTTATCAGAGCGGAATTTTGTTCCTCCGTAGCTTTCCCATCTGCACCGAAAATATTAAAAGTCGCGAAAGTCATTGAAACAATCGAGAATTGTCGCTACGAAATGATAACCCCGTTCGTATAATTTCCTCTTATGAAATACATTTCGAAAAGTGTATCCGTGTGTCTCCGCGGATTCTCGAGGAAAATCCGTAAAAGCTTTCCACGTCGCGTTTCCACAAAAAAAAAGGTGAGATCGTTACGAAGCAAACTCGCGGTGGTTATAATTAGCGCGCGCGCGCGCACGCGCGCGAATGAGAAGGGATAAATAAGAACTAAAGAAAAAACGGATCGAATGGGGAAAAAGAGGAATGCATTTAACTCAGACGAGCCACAAAGCAGCAAATGCAATATCGCCTGCGAGCAACATCGTTAAACTTTGCTAGTGTTTTTCCTGTTCCCACGTTTAACCGCTCGTCGTTCGTCAATTCGATGGAAACAAATACACACGAAGGAAGCGACAGATTGCGATGATAAATTTTTACCTACGAAAAAATGAATAGCTAAAAGCACAGCGTCGAAGTAGGAACTAAAAAGAGTCAAACTTTCTAGTTTAGATTTTTTCGCAAAAGAGGAATTGTTTCGAATGTGTTGGATTTTTATTTTTCTTTCTCGCTAGATTTTAATCGATGCGAATAAATATGCATGAAGCACGTAGAGAGGTTCATGAAAAAATTTTACCTGTAAAAAATACGATCTCAAAAAATCAGGTCTCTTTAAAAAAATGTGTTAACGTATAAAATCACCCATTCCTAATCTTTTTAATGTACGAAGTGAAATAATTACTTTTAAAAGGCTCTCCTCAAGGAAGTACATTGCATTTCCTCGTGTAATTTAACTCGATTTAACGATGTTATTTATTCAAACCGCAGGCGAGGTCTTTTAAGGAAGTCCTTTAAGATGGTTCTTTAAGAAAATAGAGATTAAATGAAACGGCGTGCGTTTTCTAATTATTTAATTTCCGAAACACTTCTCAACGTTTAAAACGCGATATTTGAATATCTGGATAATGTCTCATAAATCACCCTTCTTCTTTTCTCTTCTAACAATAAGTATGAAATAAAGATATTGAGAAATTGAAAAAAGAAAATTAATGTAATATGCAAAAATTTTTTTCCAAATTTTTTTCCTTTTAGACTCCTTGAAAGTTCGAACAATTTTTATCAAATTTGTATTTAATTAAACGTTCGTAAAAGTTAACGGTTGCCACATTTTTGCTGCATTTTTACGAAAAACCAGCCTAATGGCTTGCCCATTCACAGCAAATTAATCGAAATTCGCCAAATTGACCGCGCGCATGGAAGTTATTCTCGTTAGCAAGTTCGTTTAAAAAGTTCTAATTAAATGAAATGATGAATGCAGAACTCCCTTTGCAGAATTTTGTCACTGCGTAAAATTGCGTTCGCTTCTACAACTCAATATAACTCAAATTTCGAAAGTCGACAACTACAAAAATACATAATCAAATGTAATTATTATTCGTGAGTCCTAACAAAATTGTGCTATAAACTTCCTATAGAAAAAAATAATAATAAATTTCGATTTTAATTTCGATTATGTGTTATCTAAAATAGTTTTATTAATTTGCTTGTACAAATGTTTATTAAATTATAATGTAATTTAAAGTATTAAATTTAAACTGACTAAAATAAACAATTTTTTTTAATTTCCACACTAAAGATTTTCTCTTCACTTCTTATTTCAAATAATTCTCATTTTGCTTGAAATTTCTTAAAATGTAAATAAATTACTTGCCCCGGAACCAAATGAAATATTGTTATATACGAAACTCGAAGGCGAAGACAAATTTCGAGTTACCTCGACGGCGAAGCTTAAAGGACACAGGCAGGATTCTATATCCTTGCGAGTCGCCAGACTGGAAGGCAAACACTGTTCATCTGTGAATCGCGTCGTGATTACGGCAACGAAAAGGAAACCAGTTTCCTCGTCGTCGGGTACTTCTGACGATGAAAGGACCCTCCAGGACTCGGCGCTTTCTGGGGGCATTCTTTCGTTCGACATCCGTCACCTCGCAGTTATGATAATTCGTCATCAACTCATCAGCGCTTTTCTGAATTGTTCAAATTCACAAACTTGTATAAATATTACACTTAGCTTTTCTGCATAATTTCATACCTATTAGTATTATAGATCGATCGACTGTTTGAGAGGACGAAGCCAGCTCGAATCGTAATCCCGAAGATATTTTTAAAAAATAATTAGATCAATCAATTTAGTATTTAGTGTTCGCGCCATATAATATGTATATATCCGTGTCTTGTGTATGTATATATATAT